AAAATATATATATATATATATATATATATATATATATAATTTTTTTTTATTTATTATTTTTTTTTTATAACAGTTTATGCCTCTGTTGACCCCTGCTACAACTACACTGTGCTGGATGAACCATGGAGAGCCAACAGCAGTCGCCCATCAAACTCTTACAAGTTTGACAGGTCTGTCACCTGGAGCGGCTGGTATCGTCTCTTCATTAACGGTGTGAGCACTCAGATCCCAGACACGTGTGTTGAAATCTATACCTGTGGCACTGATATCCCACTGTGGATTCGTGGTGGACACCCAACAGTTGAGGATGGACTCGTCACTCGAGATGTCTGCGGTCACTGGAACAATTACTGCTGCTATTACGGGTCTTACCCCATTAAAGTCAAAGCCTGCCCAGGCAATTATTATGTCTATGAGCTGGTTAGACCAACTCTCAACCAAGCCGCCTACTGTGCAGGTAATTACAATTACATGAGTCTTTTGCATTATTTATGTCATTGTTGATTGGTATTTATCAGTCATTATTGTTCAGCTGTTACTAACATCAGTGCCACTTTTTCAACAGTCAGACAAGAGACGAGCTCAGCTGGTAATGTAGTCTGATGTTTCTTCTGTTAAATTGTGTTTTGTCTGAATGTATGTGGATCTGTAGAAATGAACAGGTGTGTGAGTGTGTTTGTGTCTCTAGGTAAAAACGAGGGATACAAATGTGTGTGAAATGTGCAGCTGTAGATCATTGCAGACAATTTATTGAGCACTGTGCACAAGCTAGATACATTTTCTTCACTATTCATCCAAACTTTCAGATGTTAGCAGCATTAATGGCAGTGAATGGTGAGCTTCTTCAAGCTTTCGTAAAATTTACGGTAAAAAACCGGCAGCTGTGGTTGCCAGATTTGGTTTTAACTTAAATTTACAGTTAAATACCATAATTAATTGATATAATGTTAATATACCAACCTATTATTTCTACCCTATTTGATATAGTTCACTTAGATGTATATCACACAAAGAGTACCGTTTTTCTCCAGATATCAACATGATAACAAATGTAATATTGATTTTATACAAGATTAATAAAGTTAGGATTAAGTGGCTTACATTTTAGACACAATATTGCCTGTTTTTGCTCAATTTTGCTAATGAAAATAGTTCCAAACAAAGATCACAGCACTGTTTTGCGTCTCTGAGCAACACGCAGGACAGTGTTTCCTTATTGAATGAATCAGATTTTTGAACGAATCGGTTGAATGAATGATTCAGTGACTCACTCATTAACAGCATCAAACGCTTGTGAAAATACATCTAAATGGCACTTCAAATGCAGATTCCAGAAATGTTTTCTTATGTTGGAATGAAAGTGACTAAGTACCGGATGAAGTGCCTCTTATGGTTACCCAAAGATACAATATGGAAGAAAGAGTTAAAACTATATATATATATATATATATATATATAAATAAACATAATTAAAACTATAGAA